GGAGGGGGGGCAGGAATGGGCGGTCGTTACTGAGGTCCCCGGGCGGAGGGGGGGCAGCATTAGGTGAGGGCAGCCCAGGACGACCAGGATCTGGACTCTCCCCTAAGCCTGACCACAACCGTTCAGAGCACCCCCCTCCACCAGCTCTCTCCCAAGCCGGACCTGGGAAGCCTGTCTCTGTCCCACTCCGGAAGCCGAGGCCTCAGTGTCCTCTCCCGGGCCTCTTCGCAGCAGCAGACCCCCTTCCTGACCCTCCGAAGCCTGGCTCCTCCCACCCTCTCCCTGACCCAACTCCACTCCGGAAGCTCCCGGTCCGCTGCACCCCTTCCCAGAGACTCCACCCTGAGCAACTCCGGAAGCCCCACGGCTCATTGCCGAGGCTCTCCCCGCACTGGCCCCCGCCCTCGCCCTCCACGCAGCGTCCAGGAGCCACCTGCCCCAGCAGCCAGCATGACTGCGGCTGCACTTAACCGGAACCCCCTCGCCCAGCAGCTCCAAGCTCGCCCCGAGACCTCTCCCACCCCGAGGCTCCAGGTTCCCAGCGCCTCCTCTCTAGCAACTCCTAGCTCCGGGCGCCCCTTTTCCAGCAGCAGCTCCGGGTCCCGGCGCTCCAACCCCGGCCCCCAGCTGCCCCAGTCCCCCAGCAGCCACACTCACTCTCCGGCGGCAGAGCTCCAACACCACGAACACGAAGTCGTTGTCCTCGAAAAAGCCGTGGAAGCCCACGACGTGCTGGTGGGCGAGGCTGCGGTGAATGGATATCTCCATGGACATCTTCTCCTTCTGGTGCGGCTTAAGCAGCAGCGACTTCGGCACGATCTTGCCCGCGAACACCTCCTTCGTGTCCGCGTCCGAGATCTCGAAGCACTTGGCAAAGCCGCCCTTCCCCAGAAAGCGGCCCCGCAGATAGCGCCGCCGGCTGCGGAGGTCCACTAGGACCTCCGGGATCTCTTTGGCCGGCGGGGCGGCCGCCGGGGCCCCGGGAGCTGCAGCTCCGGGGCCCCCGGCTTTCCCTGGCTCGGCTGGTGCCCGCGCCAGCTTCCCTGCAGTCGCCGCCGCACTCATGTCCCCGGAATTGCTCAGCGGTCCCAGCCGGGTCTGAACAGAGGTTTGACACCGCTCGGCTCCTCCTCGAATTCAAACGCGGCGCCGGGAACGTTACAAAGGTCTGCGCGCCGCTGATTGGTCGCGGGGATTTAAAATCCAAACCCGCCCGCCGCGCGGTACTCTGGGAGCGCCCGGCTCCGCGGCCGCCTTTAAACTTTACCCAGCCGGGATAGGGCGTTTGGGGAAGGAGAAACGAACTTGATTGACAGGGCTGACGGACAGCAGACACGTGGGGTGCCAGGGAAGCCAGCCCGAGGGGGCCGGAGTTCAGGGCTTCTCCGTTTCTCGGCGGGTCTGGGAGCTCCTGCAGTTCACAGGCACCTCCTCCTCCAGGAAGCTTTTCTTAACACCTTCCTGCACCCCTAGCCGCCTTCCAGAACAGAAGCTCAGGAGAGAGGCCCGGCAGCGCCAAGAGCTGGCTTGGGAGAGCCTTAGCACACGCCTCCCATGTCATTAGCTCTCTTCCCAGACACCCCAAATAAACTAAAATCTAAGTAAAAACAGAATGCTCGACGGGAATTTGCACCTTCAGGACAAGGCCCCTACTCACCTCCTTCAAATAGTAGCTGCTCCTGGGCCCCTCTGGCTTATAGAGCAACTCGACTCAAACTAGGCCAGGGGCCGCCAGCACTGCCAGCACCTGGGAGCTTGTTAGAAAGGCCACACTCCCGGGGAGAACTGCCCTTCCATCTGCCTAACAAGCCCTACACACGCCGAGGTTTGAGAAGCACATGCCAGGGCCCCTCACTGTACAAGCAGACCTGGCTTGTTCCCTGCTGTGCTTCCCAGTGCTGGGAAGAGTGGACCCCGTTGGCAGAGGGCTGGGCAAACTGGTGGGCCAAGGCCAGCTCCGGCCCCTCCCTTTTTAAAACTGGGATTCAATTTACAGCACTCAAAAATCAATACTGAGCTGAGCAGCTGCTGAGCTGCCAACAGGTGACAGGATGGCTCAGCTTAAAAAAAAATAATAATAAAATAAAAATCAATAGAGCTCACATAAAAATCCAGATCTGTGGCTTTTCCTGGAAAACCCCCCCCCCCCCCAAAAAAAACAAACCTAGCAGCTCTGGCAACTCTACGCCTACATACTTTCCCAGTGTGTCACCAGTCCTAGCTCTGTCCCCTTTGCCCCTTTGCCTGTTTGGCTTCCGTAGATACTTGAGTGGCAACCCTGGCAAAACACCCAAGTCAGGAGTCCTTTCTCTGCATGCCCCTCGCGCCCTACGATACCTTTGATGGAGCTGAACAAAAACCCACCACATTCTAAGTCTCTCTTTATCTGCCTCCCAATAAACTGAGAGGAGGTGATGACGTCCCTCCAACGCTGTGTCCCAGGCTCCTAGTGCAATGCCCGGTGACAAATCTTTGCTGAACAAAGGGAATTTAAAAAAAATTAAGTTATTGTTGTTTATCCCCGTGGTGTATAGTCTTCTATTTTATCTTTTTATTGAAGTTGGTTCTATGTACAGAAAAAGTGTACATATCACAATTGTACAGCTCAGTGACACTTCGCAAACTGAACACACCCATGTAAACAAGACCCAGGCTGAGAAAGAGTGCCACCGACACCCAGATGTCCCCTGTGCCCTGTGTTGGGGGGTTTCTAAGACCACCCCCTACTTTGATGACTTATTATAGTAAAAGGCGACGGAGCAAAATCAGCCAGGGGGAGAGACACAGAAAGCCATGTCCAGAGGGAGCCAGGCATGGGATCCCGAGTCCTCCCCCAGCGGGGTCACACAGGGCACGCTTAATTCCCTAGCAGCAAGCTGTGACCACACGTGCGAAACGGCATCTACCAGGGAAGCTGACTTGGTGCCCAGGGCTTTACTGGGGCCGCTCACGTAGGGCCCCTCTGCCCGGCACACACCAGATTCCGGATTCCCAGCAGGAAAGCAGGGATTCAGCAGAGCCACACTGTCTGCACAAACAGTTCAGGCAAAGTGAGTCGCTCATCCTTTAGGGAATGGTGAGAAGCATCCCCAAGTCCAAGTTCCCGGTAGCCAGCCCAGGGCCGACCCTGCAACAGGACTTTCTAAGGAGAGCAGTCTCAGGCCTGCTGTGTTAACTCTTTTCTGCACAGTTCACCCCTCAGCCCCGGGCCCAGGCGTCTCTGCACCACAATCATCATCCGTAGAACCTGACACAGAAGTGCGAGACCAGCCTGCAGGACTGAGCTCAGTCTACCTCTTAGGGTCCCGGGTTTAGCCGGTTAAAATAAAAGAACTCCGCTCACCATAAAAGTTCACCTTCGAAGGCCAGGGGGCCTCCTCCTCCTGGGCCTGTCTGAGTCATTTTGCCTAAACCCCGCCCCAACCCACCCTGCACTCTGTTCTAGGGCCTTTGGCTTTCACATGCTACAGCCCTAACTCCAATACCTCAGAACAGGGCTGTATTTGGAGATGGGGCCTTTGAGAGGTGGACCCTAATCCAACATGACAGGTGTCCTTAGAAAAGGAGATTAGCACACAAACAGCACAGAGGGATGACCCTGTGAGGGAACAGTGAGAAGGTGGCCATCTCCACAAGCCAAGGCGAGGCCTCAAGTGAAACCAAACCTGTTGACACCTTGACCTTGGACTACAGATCTCCACAGCTGTGGGAAAATAAATCTCTGCGGTTTAAACCCCAAGTCTGCGCTATCTTAAGGCAGCCCAAGCAGATTCATAGAGGATGAAACCCTGAAGTCTCAACAATTTCAAAATGGGTCTCCATGACCTCCTATCCCTTTTATCCAGAGAGCAGCCTAAAAAAGATGAATCCCTTCCTAGAAACAGCCACTTTGGAGGAATCAACCCACCTTATAGGGTGTCTGTTCCGAGGAAAGTGGGAGGCAGGGTCAGGCTATCAGCCTGCTGTGGCAAGTGGCAACTAATCCAGAAACAGAACAATGAGCTGTCTCCCAGAGGGGACACAGAGGCTCCTCTGTCAAAAGCAGGAGGAGGGGGCAGCCGAGTGGCACCCTGGTTAGGAGTTGGCTTGGGACGCCAGCTCTGAGCAGCTGGGCCCAGGTTCGGATCCCACATGGGGGTCAGTGACGCTGTGCCCTCTACAGCTAAGATGGTGAACAACAGCTCGACCTGGAGCTGGGCTGCCGTGAGTTGCTGGTGATGGCGTAGGCTGCAGTGGGGCTGGCCGGCAGTGGGCGTGAGCTTTCGTGAGCTGCTGTGAGCCGCTGTCCAATGGCCGGTGAGCAACTGCCTCACCCAGGAAGAGCGCAATGATAATACCAACATGGGTCAGTGAAGCGACGTCCTCTACAACTAGACTGAAGAACAAAAAGAACAGCAAATTGTCTGTTTCCCTTCCCCAATTCCCCAATTAAAACAAAAAAAAAAAAAGCAGGAGGAGCGGTCACAGTCCCCGAGATGTGGCCTCCCCGAGCTGGCAGCTTTTGGCAGGGATCACAAGTCAGGATGCAATTAGCCTCTGCAGCAGAGAGAAAGGGCCGGTCAGCAGCTTGATTTCAAGGGCCCCATCAGAGAACAAGCCCTCTGCTGCAGACATCTGTACATGACCCAGGTGATCCAGCCGGCAGGCACGACACATGTTTCCATAATTCTGAAGGGTCCTAAGTCTCCCGTGGTCCCAGGACCTAGTCCTGTCATGAAGCCTGTGTCGGCTTCCAGTCCAGCGCAGCCCCTGGTGAGGGAAGCACAGCGCATGGCGGCTTCCAGTCAGGGCCCGCCAACCAGGATCAGTGGATCTGGGATTCCCAGTGAGTCAATGGCTTTTCTTCGGCAGCAGCAGAAGCATGCTGAGTGCCAGGCAGCCATGGTCCAAGCCCAAATGAGAAGCAAGGCTTCCTTTTCATCTTGTCAGTAAGAGTTCCAAAACAGCCCACTCAAAAATACACACATCAGACTGGACAGCCATCAGCCAATCTGGATCCAACATTTGATTTCAGCAAGGACTCAACAGCAATTCATCTGCTTTTTCAAATTCCAAATGGGTATTTCCATCAGAGATTGCCTCTCTGTTCACGTCGTCTCCCTCGTTCCAGAGGCTCCATCCAATAGCCGCAAATCATCACAGCAAAAATCATCAGTTACAGAGGCTTGCTCTGGTCTAATTCTCAAAGAATTTAAATTCTAATTCACTGGCGGCAAAAAGCAAGAAAACTGAACCCCACCGGGCATGTAATTCCCCATCACAACCCCTACACATATTCCCATTTGATGGATGAGAAATCTGAGGTTCATCGCAGGGACAGCTGGCCTGGATGTGCAGGGCTGGGAGCTGACCTGCCACGTCCAGCGCCCACTGTGATGACCCGCAGGAAAGGCCCCTCAGCCTCCTGAGAGACCTCTATTCTGTGTCCCACTAGGCTGTAAGGTGTCGACGGCAGGGCCTGGCTCTATCTGACTCTCCACTGTGCCTCCGGGACCCAGGGCAGCACCTGGTGCTCGGCAGAGGCTCAGGCACTGTTGGTTCACTGAAAAACTGAGTGATGCAGCATGAACCGCGCCTGTCTTCCCTGCCCGAAAGGGCAGCAGTGCACGTTCTACAAAAGCACAGCCCTACCCCTGGGGGCTTGAGAAGTGCTTCTGCAACCCTGGACTTTCGGGAACAGGTCCAAGCTGGCAGCACATGTTGAAGACACCTGTTTTGAAACAGTTAGGCTTCTGGACACACGGTGCCACCGCTGCCAGTGCTGTTTCAGGGGCCCTGCAGCTCCCCAGAAGCTCCCCCAGGAGATAAGCCAGCTCGATCTGCCCACCCACTGCAGCCACCCAGGTGTGCTGGACAGTGGCTCAGGGCGTCAGACATCGCTGAGGCTCCAGGTCCTGGACACCCCGTGGGTTCCCACCAGCCAGATCAAGACACCCAGAAAGGCCTCCCCAGCCACCAAGACCCCTTCTTCACGCTGAGAAACTCCCAAGGATGTGCTGAGTAGAAGCAATGTTTGTCTGAGTCATTTCAAGTCTGCCGTCACCCAGATATTGGGTCAGAGTGACTAAGAAAGGAACTGCGGCCTCAGGCTGAGGGAGCTGGCTCAGGTCGTTATGCAGAAGCCACCACAGATGCCAACCAACCATGACAGCCCTGGGCAGCCTTGCAAAATGGACTCGGTCATCAGGAGGTTCATAAGTCAACCGTTTGACCTGGATCCCTGCACCAGGGGTCCTGCCTGGGGTGGAGGCTAGGGAGAGCGGGACCTCACATCCAAATAATCACCCCCATGAAGTATGAGCTGGAAACCCACAGGCTCATGCCTGCCACCTCAGGAGCTCATGGCCAGTGTGGGCTCAGACAAGAACACAGGTGCATCACTAGAAGTCTACCTAGAGCTGGACAAGGGCCCTCCATGGGTGTTATGGTCCATGGAGAAGCAGTTCCAGGTGGACGACGAGCCTCCACATGGCTCTGCACTGAAAATTCCACTTTGGCTAAGCTATACCCTCTCTGGGCCCCCTAATCCAGGCTAAGGTGCCGCTCAGGGGGTACCCCTGAGACCAAGAGCAGTAAGAGTGGACAGGGAGACAGCCAGTGACTAGAAGCAGGAACTCTAGAGACAGAGGCCTGGATCGTACACTAGGGCTCTTGGTTGAGCCTCCGTCATGGGGAGAGTGCGTGTACCTGGCTCTACATGTACCTGCCTCTCAGGAGTTGCAGGGAGTTCATAAATGTCGAGGTCTCAGGAGGGTTCCTGGCACGTGGTGGACACCTGCTGTTTTTAATCCCGTGTGCCAATACGGAGCCAGCCCTAAGACACATCGAGTCAGAGCAGCCAAGAGCAGAGAGGCACAGCCGCACCTGTGTGAACGCACCTTTGTGAACACACCTGTCTACAGAGGGTGGTGTACACAGAGACGCCCGATGTGCGCACGCAGACTGTCTGGTAGGAGAGCCCAGAGCCTGCTTGGTGGCCGCCTCTGGGAAGCAGAGCGCAGGGCCGGACTCTGGGATGGGCAGACCTTCTTCATTACTGTCCCTTCTTTCCTACCTGGATGGACTTTTGGAGTCATGTACTTGAATTACTTAAAAGATTTTAAAATTGTGTTTGTTTTAAGAGGCTCAAAAAACCCACCCAAAACCACGTTCTCTTAATTTGGGTTGTTTACCAACAAACTAGCCAGTCACAAAATTATATCTCAATAAAACTACAAAAGTAAAATTGAAAAGAAAAAGGACAGTTAGCCACATAAAGTGTCAAGGTATTCACACACAGATGTGATGGTGGCCTGCTGGGTCACCTGGAAGATTTCTCTAGGGAGCAAGAGGCTGTCATGTCAGCCTAGGGGGCACCAGAGCTCTGTCAGCCCCAAGGTTCACCTTTTTGGTAGCACGAAAGGGGAAGGTAACTCGGGGAAAGGCCAGGAAATGGCTAAAGAGCCTGCAACCATCCCAAACTGCTGCTGTCAGACAGGATGCACCGCAGGTGTGCTCCACGGGCAAGTTCGTTCCATCTCACCAGGGCAGAGCTGAAGGGCACGGCTGTGGAGCCAGACAGACATGGCCGTGATTCCTGGGTCAGCCACTGCACCAAGTCATCTACTATTCTCACCTGTCAATGGGAATGACATCCACCTGACAGGGTCGGGGTGAGCCGGGGACAGGCCAGTGATGCCTGCAGCGGGCACTGGGCACGGAACAAAGTGCCTGGGGAACAGAGGATGCTGTCGCTGGAGGGGGACAGCGATCACCTTCAAATGACTTGGTTTGCATGTCAATCTTTTAATGTACAAACATAAAAAAATGACAAACAAGGAAGCAGTTTTACATCGAACAAGTGAAGATAATGACATTAACCGGTTCTGCAAGCCCCACACCTGGGTATTGAGCCAAGACCCTGACCTTCCAGGCTGAGCTGTCCCCCTCCTGGCAGGAGAATCAGAGCACTGAGCCAGGCCAACCTTCTTGGGCCTTCACTTCCACATCTTCCTTCTAACCCAAGAGGTCAGAACAGAACCGGCAGGGCTGTGCTATCAGCAGGTGATACCCACGGCACCTGCTCGGGGCTCTGTGCCCACAGCACGGCTGTCAGAGGCCCCTGTGTGTACACATGATTAGGCTCGAGGCCAGGGGACAAGGACCACCGACACCGCATCTTTACTGCTGCCCCCAAACGCCCTGAGGCAAGGGGCGGCTTGCCAGACCTGTCCATTGAACCTGGACTTCGCAAAAATAAAATCTGGGTGCTGACGGCCACCCTTTTAGTGAAAGCCCAAAGGCCCTAGAACAGAATGCTAGAAAGTCACTCTCGGTTAGAAGACAGGGAAGGTCACTGGGAAATAAGAGAAATGCTAGCCACCCTTCCTTCAAGTTTCCGTGCCAACAGGAATCTGGGCTCTGAAAAGCCACACGTGCTCTCGTTTTCAAGATTATGAGCAGTTGTGGCTACTGGCAGCAGGAGCTGGGAGTGACCCACTGGGGTGGTGCTGACCCACGGGGGTGGGGAGCTTAGGACCACAGCAGCACCCCGGCTGCACACCCTGCCCACTGGGACAGAGTGCTCTCAGTGTGTCCCGGTGCCCACCCAGCGCCCCGGGTGGGAGTGCGGGGAGTCGGTCCCACAGATAATGGCATGAGTGGCTGTTAATAGATACACTTGAAGCGCAGCATTTGGAGACAACTCCTTAGATGTTCTATTATTCAAGTCTTAAGAGCTTCGAGCCAGGGCGGATGGTGAAATTCTAAAGAATTAAAAACCTCAACAACCAAAAGGAAGGAAGGTGTCAAGGACACAAGGGCTCTTCGCAGATGCTGATTGGCTCACTCTGTCCCCCAGCTCATCTGAGAGCTCAAGCGAATTCAAGAATGAGGTAGGGACCTCAGACCTGTGTCAAGGGCAAGAACTTCTGGTAGTAGCTTTTGGTGACGTCGATCATCAGCTCCTGGGTGCATTCTGGGAGCTCCCCTGAGAAGAGTCCTGGGGAAGAAAGACCAGTCACCACGAGCAGCCAGGGGAGGCCTGTGGCTCTGCTTTCTGTGCAAACAAACCCCAGGGGCCCTTTCCTTTAGACATGAATGCTGGCGTGCTGCTAGGTTGTCCATCTTTGGTGCTAACAGGTTATTTCCACTGACCGTAACTTTTGGATGATGTGAATTTTCGTGTGTGGGTGGGATAAATAATACTGCTCTCCAAATGGAGAAATCTACGCCAGGTTAAAGAGGCCAGCACATGAGCACATGATATGACGACTACGTCAGAGATTGTTCCAAACACGGATCTGTCCATCCCCTGGAGTCTGGGGTGACACCTCCTGGGCGGTGAGCACTCTCAAGGTAAGAAACCGGCCTGTTATTCAACGATGCCAGCACCTGCTGGATACAGCCAAATCGTGGACAGGAGTAGGACAGAAATGTCCTAGAGGAAGACAGAAGATGGGCAATCGTGCTAAAATTCCCAGAAAGGCACTCTCCTACAGCGCGGGTAGAGGTGTAGCCCTTCACAACTGTTCTGAAGAGCAATGGAGGAGTATCCAGCAAAACTTCAAAATTCATATCCTGTGACCTGACGATCCCACATCTGAGAATTTATTCCACAGATAACCCTCCCAGTCGCACTATATGTGCACAAGAGCTGCCGAGAGGTTTGCCTTGGGGCATTCTGTCAGCCAAGGCGGGAAGGGGATGTGTTAATTCTCTTGCGTGGTCTGGAGCAATCACTGGTCTCAGATGGGTTTTACGCTAACTTTTCCACTTGGGCTTCCCTGGGCAGGGCAGGAGGTATAAACTCAAAGCCTGACCAACATGAAAGCGAGGCCACAGTGAGAATTCTCTGCATAGGCTGTTTTTCTACCCAGAGTCCAGGCCAAGGTAGGCATGCTTGTTTGTGCTCCTCCTGTGCTGGGGACAGGTCTGTCCTAACTGAGGGATGAGATTTCATGGGCGGACGCAGGCTTCAGCTGTCATCCCCACACCGTGTCAATCCCTAAGGATTTTGAAGGCGGCATCTACCGGAGCACGCTCTATTATACCCTCTGTTTAGTTTCCTCTTTGCTCTGACTCTAGTCATTTCCTTGTCCAATTATGCATTTAGAAAGACACTGGTTATATTTTAGACAGCATTTCTAGGTACTTTGTAACAGGAGAATTTTTAAGTCAGCGAAACCAACATATTATCAGAGGCAGAAATTACATGCATGACTTTTGTGAAGGAAAAGAAACTTGAGTTTCAATAACTATCAGCCAAGGTTACCTGGGCAGCCAGAGAAGACGGTGAATGGTGGCACCACAGTCTCCGGAGGTAATACTGTGTTGTCAAGAATTTTGCAGCAGTCTTTCAACACGCACCGGCGCCCCTGAAATGAAAATCTTGTTACTAGGAAATTGGTCAGGAAAAAGTACACGTCGCCTAGTCTGCAGTGTGGAAGGCACTCTATACTTTCTCCACTAGTGAGGTCCTTCAATGGACAGGGACAAGAGGCGTGGCCACCGCTCCCTCCTCAGATGGTACCTGACAAGCCAGAGGCAGGGGTGTGAGTGTGAGTGAGTGTGTGTGTGTGTGTGTGTGTGTGTGTGTGTGTGTGTGTACATTTGGGGCGGGGGATGTATGCTAGGGCAGTTCTGGTTATCCTTGGTGTTACAGACTACGTGAAATTTGGTCTGCCAAGGCTCTGTTTAATTTTCTTTCTGCTTTCATTTAGTGGGCATCTGTTGTTTTGCTCGTCCAACATCTGTTCCCCTCTGGCAACAGAACCTGTATTTTCCCGGAAACCACTCCAGCCCCATCTCGGCCCATGTGCTTCAGTGCCCACCCTGACGCCTGGATGAGGGGATGGGCATTAGAGCCCAATTGGTCAGATGAGTCCCCACAGAAGAGCTTCTGCTGGGACCACTGGGAACAGAGGCTCTTTCCAGTGGGGTTTCTAGAGCTCAGGATGGGAGCCGGGAGCGGCCCCCTTGTTTCCAGGAGGGAGTCCTGCCGGAGAGCTGGCCAGAGGAAAATAAAAGGGGGGGGGCGGTTGGCTTGGGCGTTTAGAGTGCAGGCTCATGGCCCTGAGGTTGCCGGTTCGATTCCCACATAGCTGCGCCCTCCACAACTAGATTGAGGACAACTGCTTGACTTGGGGCTGATGGGTCCTGGAAAAACACACTGTTCCCCATTAAATTTAAAAAAAAAAAGGGAAGGAGACTGATTTTCACGACATCAAATGAACCCCTAGAGCCATCTGTCTGGGAAATTAGGGTCCATGTCTGTACCCGTGGTTTGCATCCATTCATTCTGAAGGTTCAGGCTGAACCTTATGCTAACCTTGATCTACTGCCGTCTCGTTTCAATTCGGCAATCACCCTGGCATTCTGGGGGCAAGAAGCAAGGTCTGGGAGATTAAGCTGTTCCCCGGGTTCAGGACAGGCAGGGGCTCCGTATGGAGTTTAGGGCTGTGCCTCAGGCTATTAGCTGTGAGCACCGGTCTTTATCGGCCTGTGTTTGGGAATGCCTAAGAAATACCAGGGCAGTACAGCTGAAACTAATTCTAAAAAATGTGTATTTCACAATAAAAAATAATAAAAAAAAAAGGAATACCAGGGTAGTGCTAACCCGTCCAGATCTCAGGTTTTACCAAGAAAGGAAAGATACTTCGATTGGTTGTGTTCAAATTTCCCCCATTACTAAACACCCAAATCAGATGTACTTCCAAGAATTTCCAGGTAGATTGCCAAGTGGATTTTCTAAAAAGCTTATACCTCTAAGGCCTGAATTTCTCAAGTACCTCCTGGGTTGTCCCCAGCTGGGTGGGTAACAGCCTTGGTGACAACTGGCAACATCGTCAGCTCGGACGCAAGTCACAACTGCAGCTCTTCACTCCTCTGCAAAGTTCTCTGTCATGAATGACCGACCGGCTCTCGGTTATTTCAAAATTCCGGCAGGAGGCTGGCTCCCTGGTGACTCCCAAATTAACTCAAAGATGGCCCCTGACCTCCTAAGAACTCAGACTAAGCACATGGGGCCCTGAGAAAGGGGAACAGAATGGGCCGCACAGGGCATGGAGCAGCCACAGACAGGGATCTGTCCACAGCAGATCTGTCCCGAGAAGAGAAGGACAGTGGGCACCAATCTTCTCACTGTGTGCCACCAGCCACCACACAGCCGGAAGTGCCCACTTTGTTGGCTAGAGATACGATGCTCAACTGGGTTCCAGAGCATTCTGGGTACATTGATCAGTTCATTAGCAGTAAAATAAAAATGCAGGTACTTCTTGGACATGTTGGATTGGCAACAGCCAAGGAGGTTAAAAGCTGAAATGACTTCTTTCTTCTTTCCTGGGTAACTTTCCAAGGAAGGCTCAAGAGCTACATGCTGCTGGCATTAAGCTACCTGTCTCCTGATGCGAGCTATTTAGCATCTCTGAGCCTTGGTTTCCTCACCTGTGAAAAAGGACGCAAAACCAAACCTGCAGGGATGCTGTTGGGATTCGAGGTAGTAAATGCAAATCTCACTGCACAACGGAGCCTATCAGCATCGCCTGTGCGGCCTTTCCTGCAGGCATCTGGGCGATTCCGATTAACAGGAGCTCCTTCATGTATCCACTAGAAGTCAGACTACCAGACGGATGCTCTAGGACGGGTCTGTGTGTCACGGGGCCAGCTGGCCTCAGAGCTAGCACTGAGATTCTAGAATTTTAAAAGAACCTTTCTCCTGAGATTGCTGGAGAATCTGTAAGGGTTCAGCAAAGAAGCACTACCAACCCTGAGCAATGATTATGTCACCCTGTCAACTAACACACTGAAGAGTGGAGCAGAAGCAGAGGACGTGACAAGAGGGTTGGAACTCCCCAGCCTTGGCAATGGCCTTGGGATTTTAGCCCCGCAGACGTTTTGCTCAACGGGCAGGGCTGAAGGGCAGTGCTGCTATGGTGCTGTCTTCACTTTGCTGAGGGAAGTGTCAGCAGTGGCTTGGAAAGCCAGCCTGGTCCACGGAGTGAGGGGGGCAGGCAGATTTCACCCCTACCGCCCCCTTCTTCAACAGCAGGCCCAGCCGGACTTCCTGTCCCTAACACACAATGAGGGACCACGAAGGAGACACTTGGCAGCACAGCCACTTCCCTTGACTCTAAGTGACAGGCAGCTTGGGGTGATTTTGCAGCATGTGGTTCCCCACTGCACCATCCATCTTTGCCGTGATCTTGTAGCTCCCAGAATGTTAGCTGCCTGGCTGCGGCAAGTTTTCTGATACTTTAGTGCTGGAGTCCTAGCCAGGAGAGAGCTGGCTCCCCGCTCCCACTAGGCTCTAAGTTCCCTAAGGGAACAGGTAGGCCATACAGCAGCAGGGCCATTCACACCAGTGGGTTCAAATCCCGGCTCTTCCATGTCACAGACTCATTGAAGCCCCTAAGACCTGAGGCCTGCAGGTAGCAATAATAACAGCACCTACCGCCCTCGGACGGTTGTGAGCAGCAAATATACAATTAAAGGGGAGAGTTTAACATCAGAGGGAAAACACTCGATAAAGCTTAGCCGTGATGAGCAACGCCTAGGAAAAGCTCCAAATCCAGTTAATTCCGGTAGCCCAGAAACTACTGCTACCTGCCTGGTCTCAGGGGCAGGGGCCCACTGACATGAAGGACAGGGGCTGGGAAGAAGGGAGGCCACACAGCCGGCCACGCCACCATACTCACTATCACACAGTTCTTGCCGACGTGAACGTAAGAGCCGATCTGAGCTGCGTTGACCACACAATCTTCCTCAATGAAGACATGGTCCCCGATGTGTAAAGGGAAAAATGCCACGCTGCAGAAAGAGAAGACGAACAAAGAAAGGTCAAGGCTTACAGAGCTCCAGGCTGCGATCACCACGTCATCATCTTATCCAAACAAGACTGTTGCTCGCACGGAAAGAGTCCTCACGCTAGAGAACTTCCGTAATGTTGAAGATGAATGGGCCTACTCAAAATCAGAAATATCAGGCCAGAGAAATATGTAAGGGCACAGCAAGGAAGACTGGCAAGACCGTCAAGGCTCAAGGAACTGGCACCAAATAAAAATGAGTGTTTGCTTGTTCCTGCTTCCTTAGAAAATGCTCACAGATCACATTTTTAGTAATCTGCTCTATACTATGCCTGGGGACTGACGTCAGATTCATGGGATATAAACCCTAGCACCCAACATCCTGAAAATTTACATATTCACTGATTTTATCAAGTGCCTAATATATACCAGACTCTATGCCAGGAATTAGGGATATGGCGGCAAGAAAAAGGATGCAATCCTGCCCATGACGAGCTTACAATCAGGAGAAGAAAAAAAGTGATTAAGTAAATGTTATATAGTAACTAGTTGCAACTGTGAAAAGGGCCACAGAGAAGAAATATGTCATGTGAGTATCTAACAAGGAGACTTCGCCCAGACTGCAGGCTGGTAAAGCTTAACTGAAAGTGACATGGAAGCCAGGACTTGAAGGATGAGTAGGAGTCAGGAGGCTTTCTGCAGACTTCTGACATTGTTCCCACGCTCCAGGAGTCCTCGCGTGTCATTCACAGTGGCTCTGTCATCACATTTACAAGCAATGTCAGTGCCTTGGGATGGGCGGTGTTTGGGCTGGCACGAACATAAAGCAGCTGGGCACTCACTGGCTCTTCCCAGTCCTGTGCTCTATTCTGCCAGGAGTAGCTTGTCAGAGATAACACCCATCCTCCATGGACTGATAGTTTCTTTAAATCTTTCTTAATCCATCCATATTTTTAGTCTATACCCTGTGTGGCAATGAAGTCCTCGATCTCATCGCAGTCTACAGCAGGACTGCCAGTTCTTTAATTTTAAATTCCATTCCCAACTCTGCACCACTGTCTGGTTCTGGTGCTGGGGTACACACGGGACAGCGGGGGGAGGGGCACAGTCACCTTCTACGCGGGTGTTGCTATTGGCACGTTCTTACTGCTTTCATTTCTCACATGCACTAACTACTCTTCTTTACACACCCCTCCACTCACAGGTAAACCCCATGTTCATTCTTGACGCTCTTCCTGGACCATGTCTAGCCCAATAACCTTGGTAGGAAGGCAGAGTCGGCACCTCTCGCAGAGTATCAGTCAGTGTATGATACATAAAAGAGTACCTATCACGAGGTTTTCTGGCTTCCCCCCAACAGCCTTCGGAGCCAATGAGTGAATGTTTTCCTATGAATGACTTAGGGACTCCCTGCTCCGATCCCTGTATGTCATGGAAAGCCTGGGGCCCAGCATCATCATGGGAGACGCAGGATTATTCCTGCAGGATATGCCCTAAGGTACTGAGTTAGTTCCAGCTAGCTGCTGTCTTCCCTGCCCCCTTCCCCACGTTCATACCCGTGACAGGAGTCTCACATTCTATAGTGGCTATCACGCTGTGGTATCACATGATAGAGCTCTCTGTTTACATAAGTGTTTCTACCGCTAGGTTTTGAGAACCTTGAGGCAGGAACACTATTTTATCTATCTTGATATGCCCAGCTTATAACTCAGTGACTGGCAAAAGGAAAGCACTCAGTAAATCCTTAGTGAGTCACTGGATGGAGAGCTCATGGGCCACAGGGAGGCCCGGGGAGCACATCAGCTCAGGGCGAGAAAGACAAAGACAGCGACCTGAAGCAGGCACAGTGGCCAGTTTCCCTGCCCTGTCCATGTCCTTTCTGGGACAGTCCTTATTCCCACTGAGAGACCAGTGGGCCTGACTTGACCCTGCCCTCTGGGTCACAGCTCTTTAGACCAGGGCTGGGCACTGAACTCATACTAAGCCAATCAGACTCCCTCTCCCAAGAATCTGAAATAAGACCTAAGATCCCTAGCTGTTATCTGCTGGAAGCTTAAATGAAGAAGTGATATAAATACGGGGCTGAGGCAGCAAGGTTGGCCAATCTGAGAGAGAAGAGAGGGAGGCAGAAGTGCTGAGAGGAGGACGGATAAACAGTACAATGTTGGAGACAGCAGAGCTGTCTGGATTCTGGTTGGCTGTCCGGTTCCAGATTCTAGCCCCTCCTGAAGCCCGGCCCCATTATCCGCCCTTCGATTCCATCAAACATTTCAGAACCCATTTTGATTTTGCCAGTGTAAGTGGATTCTGTTTCTGGGAACCAACCATCAACTAGACTAAGCCAGCCACTCCCAGAGTTGTGTTCGTTCGGTGAATTCTAATTCAGTGTCCCAGACAACAGCCCAGACCTGTTCCTTACACGACGATTGAACGCGTGGATACCACCACCAGTAGCGGCAGTCTGCCCAAGAGTGAAACAAGATAATTAAATTACATACCCTTTGCTGAATTTCTTGAACGGTGGCCTTATGACACTCCGACTTTTCACAACACAATGACGTCCAACTCTTACATTTGCCAGATCCCCTCGGATAATACAGTCATTCATCACGATGGTCTATAAAACAAAGCACATGTAAAAAATTACCAACATAGTCAGAAAACATACAACAAAAAATGGGTAGGTAACAAGACACTGTTTCGCTATGATCTACTGAGTCACACGTTCTGGCCAAAGGAATAACTTGTAAGGTTAAGACCTAGTTGGGAATCTCAATTTGAACAAACCAACTATAAAAAAACATCTTGAGATGATGGAAAAATTGATCATGTTTCTGGCATAAAAGGAAAAATGCTTTCTGTTGCCTCCTTTTATTTATTTATTTATTTATTATTATTTTTTTTTTATTTTTTTTTTTAGCTGAGCCATCCTACCACCTGTTGGCAGCTCAGCGGCAGCTCAGCTCAGGCCGGACTCGAACTGCTGTTGCTCAGAGCTCACACCCTTGAGCGAGCTCTTAACCAACTGAGCCACTCAGCTGGCCTGGGTGTTGCCTCCTTTTATTGAATGTCTTTTGTATTCTATAAATCCAGTTTGGAGGGAAAAAAAAGAAAAGATAAATTTTTAAATGTACAGCAATAAATGAAAGACGTGGCAACATTTTACGTGATAATTTGTGGCAACATGTTACCTGCCCTGCTAATGTGATAATTGGTGGAAAAGAAAGGTTTGCCGCCTGGAGCTGGCTTCGTCCCTTACCTTGCCATTGAGAACGATGTTCTGACTTCCACACAACACCGACTGGCGACTGACTTTGTTCCCAGATGCCTGAAAGGGAACAGCAGAAAACGAGGGTAAGCGAACTGCGTGGGTTCTGGTCTCCATCGAGAAACCTCCTATCGGAGAGAAAAGTACTTGAAACAGGGTGTAGTCTTCAACGGAATGAGTCCAGAATATTAAAAAAAAAAAAAAGCAAGGATGGATCAGGAAACCAGAGATTCAAGGAACAGACTCAGAATTGGGATGGTGGCAGGTGTGCTGATAGCCCTGGTGGCATCAGAGACGTGGGTGCAAGTCCCAATTCTATACCTCGGTTTTGCAGCCCTGACGCCAGGATAACGACTTTACCAATATCACAGACTTGGGAGACTTCGATGAAACGCAGAACAACAGTAGCAACGCTGACGGAGCCATTTACACACATCATGGAGTGACTATAAAGAACCTAACGTTCCTTAGCACATAGTAATAAATGGCGACAGGTTAGTCTTTTAAAATAGTTCTTAAAAGCCCCAAACTTGGATGAGGCTTGTCCTGCCTTCTGGAAGGCATTTTATCTCTACGAGGAAATCAGGAATACATTTAAAAAGCCTAAACCGGCCATGCAAGGAATACATAACAAAGCCGGACCCTACGCGCCACGGGGACCCGCCCGGGTGGGGCAGGGACAAGATGGGGACACCGGCCTCGAAGGGACGCAGGCTGACGCCTGGACACACGCACCGTTTCGATGTACTCGGACTTGTTGTAGAGCAGCTCGCCCAGCTCCATGGCCACCAAGTCTTTGCCGCAGCTCTGACTCCTGTCAAAGTCTGTCAGCTCCGTCTGTCGCCCTGCGCGTCCGGCCGCTTCCGGCGGCTCCCGCACTTCCGCTCCCAGGCGACCTCCGACCTCATCCATAGCTCGGCTCTCCGCTAGGCGGCCCCGCTCCGTTGCTCGGCAATCCCCGACTGCGCGTGCGCAGGCCGAGCGCTGGCTTTCATTGGCTGGGTGGACGGCGCGCGGGTCCCGCGTGGTCCTGCTGGTAGCTCGCTGAGCGCGTCCCTGGCGCCCCGTTCCTTCCCCGGGCACCCCTGGGGCCCAGGGCCAGCCGGGGTCCTCGTGTCCACAGCCCTGGGGCCGGCGACGGCTACTGTTTCGTCCGGCCGCCGGCCCGATGGAAGAGCCTCCCGGGAAGCCCCTCAGCTGTGAGGAGAAGGAAAAGGTGCCGAGGGTGCGGGAAGGGCTGACTCCGACCTCTGACCCCCGTCCCAGGATTTTAGGCCACTGTCCCCTGACCTGCGCTCTTTGGACTGAGGGTCCCAGGACGTAAAAGTGTAGAGGAGCGCTGTCCTCGCGAAGTGGCATTTAAAAAACGCATTTTTTTTTCGTGACAGCGCTGATGCCTGAGTGCAAAACGGGAAGCGCTAGATAAAGCTGAGTGACGTTCCCACTGGCCCCCGCCCCGCCCCCCTCTCTCAGCCTTGGCTTCTCCCATCGCACCCCTCAAGCAAGTCCCTTAACAGGCTGGTCCTTCAGATCTTTTCGGGGGTGCGGAGGGGTGCCGTTGTATTCTCTAACCCCCAAAAGGAGCATGCGTTTTTTGGAAAAGCGAATATATCCATACATGGTATGATCTGGATGGTTCTGCAACTCCCTGTTTCCATTTCCAAGTTTGACATCCGTGCTAGGTTGTGTGCATCGACCTTATTTATTTTTTAAAGCTCTGTATAGTATTGCGTACCATTGGAGGTGCCGTCGTTTCTTTAGATGTTACTCTGCTGAGAGACTTAGGCTGTTTCGGGCGTTTGCTTTCACAGCAGTGCTGCTGGAACCATCGGGTATCCATGCGACTCTGCTTGGGCAAGATGACGTTTAGCCTGAACGTGCCTTGTGCTGGCTGTTGCAGGCGTCATGCTACCCCCTTCATTCACGTTAACACATCAGTTCTCTTCTCCCAGCCTACCTCCTGGTAGGGGTGAGAAAGGACATGTACAAGTCAACATAACTCCCAGATACTGATAAGCTTCGTGATAAATAGGACGCCGTGAGCAGCAGCCTGGCATAGACTGAAGAGCACCGGGTCTAGAGCTGGGCTGCACGGGTTTCCATCCAGCTGTTTATGAACTGGACACATGGACATCTTGGACACGTGGCTTTCTCTCTGATCTTGCGTAGCCAGCTCCTTCCTCCTCCAGGTCTCGGTTCAAATGATAGACCTCAGAAATGCCTCCCTGGCCGCCCCTATTTGAAGTAGTCCATCCCCATAAGCCAGGCGCTTTCACATCTCCCTGTCTAGGTATTGATCACCATGTGAAATCGTCTTAGCCGTCTCTTTATTTTCTTGTTCATTATCTGTATCGTTTACTCTATGTAATTCTGTATATCTAGCACTTGGAAACAATAACTGATACATAGTGGTAGCAGCTATTGTTCCCAGGAGCTAGAGCTACCTGGACCGATAATTTGACCGATCCGTCTACCTTCAGGGGTCTCACAGTGGGATGGGAGGAGGCAAACAGAGACGTAAACAGACAACATAGTATAATAAGTGCTGTAATAAAGGAAGCACAAGGGCCGGCCACGTGGCTTAGTTGGTTAAGAGCTCACTCAAGAGTTTGAGCTCTGAGCAACAGTGGTTCGATTGCGGGCCTGAGCTGAGCAATTGCTCAGCTGCCAACCAGTGGCAGGATGGCTCAGCTTAAAAAAAAAAAAAAAAGCATGGAGGAGAGGTGGGGTGTCAAACCTGGATGTGGAGAAGGACCTAGAAACCTACTCCTGGGAAATAAAGATCTAAGCTGGGGCTTGAGGAATCACTAGAAATTAGTGAAGTGACTCGGGGAAGAAATGCTCCAGGTGATAAGAACCGTCTATGCAAAGGTTCTGAGATGACAGCAGAGGGCTTGGTGCTTTGTGAGCTGAGAGTAACATGGGCCAGGCTGCTCCCCGCACTGCCTCTTGCTGAGTGACCTGCTGAGCATGGCACACTCATGTCTGGTAGGCACTGCATCCCTTCTTTCTGACACCTTCCCACCTGCTTAGTATTGTCTGGTGTTTTTCTTCTTCCAGTTGAAGGAAAAATTGGCATTCTTGAAAAGGGAATACAGCAAGACACTAGCCCGCCTCCAGGTAAGTCAACCTTCTTCTCTTGAGGTAGTGTAACTATGTAAAAACAGCTTTTCATCATGAAGCTTAAAAAAAAAACTTCTTCCTTACATTTGTTCTTGAGCTGCATTTGCTTTCTCTAGCGTGCCCAAAGAGCTGAGAAGGTTAAGAATGCTGTTCAGAAAACGGGGAAAGAACAAGATTGCTTGGTTCAGCAGGACGCTTCACCACGGCTAAACCACTCAGGTAAAGCTGGCCCCTTCACTTAGGCTTGCCTCAGTATTTATTTCCCAGGTGTATTTGGCTGTGGTTCTTTCCCTCACAGTCAGAAGGTAAGGATGCAATAGACCCTTTAAGGTGTACAATTTGATGGTTCTTTGGATAGTCACAAGATTGTGCAACCATCATCACTATCTAATTCCAGAACATTTTCACCACCCCAGATAGAAACCCGGTACCCATTCCACGCCTAACTCCTGACAGCCATTAATGTACTTTCTGTTTCTGTGGATTGACCTGTTCTGGACATTCATAGAAGTTCAACCATGCAATGTGCACCCTTTTGTGAGTGGCTTTTTTCAGTTAGCATATGTTCTCAGTGGCCATCCACCCATGCGTACTTCTGGGCATTCATCATTACTCCTTCCCTTTTGCAGCTGAATGATATTCCACTGTATAGATGTGCCATAACTTGTATATCCAGCCATCAGTTTGTGGACACTTGGGTTGTTTTGGCTTTTTGGCTATTATGAATTCGGACTCTTAGCGGCAGTGAACGTTCATGTACAAACATTTGGGTAGACGTACATTTTTATTTCTTTTAGGTATATAGCTAGGAATGAAATTGCTGGGTCACGTGGTAATTCCATGTTTAGCTTTTTGAGGAATTGCCAAATTTTCCTACAGCGGCTGCACCATTTTGCATTCCCACCATGGTGCACAAGGGTTCCAGTTTCTCAGCATCCCTGCCAATACTTGTAATTCGCCATGTTAAAAATTATAGCCATCCTGGGGGTGTGAAGTGGTATCTAACTGTGGTTTTGGTCTGCATTTCCTAGTGACTAATGATGTTGAACATCGTTTCATGTGCTTAGAGGCCGATTGTGTATCTTTGGAGAAATGTCTATTCATCCTTTGCCGATATTTTAATTAGGTTATTTGTCTTTTTATTCTGGGGTTGTAAGTATTCTTCATATATTGTAGCTATTAGACCCTCATCAGATACATGGTCTGTAAATATTTTCTTCCATCCTATGAGCAATAAACTGTGCTTCCAGTTGGATTATTTACTTAGGTGCCCTTTCCCCCTAGAAATTACATTTAGAAATTATATGTATTGCTTAATTATTGGAAAGATTTTTAAAAATTTCTATATAAGCACAGAGAAAAATGTCTGGCTGGAAATACTCTAAGAAACAATGGTCAATCCTCATGTTAATACTTAGGTAATTTATAATCATAACATTGGAGGCTATTACAATAGGAAAGAGATATTAAAATTACTTGAGCCAGAAAATAAAAAAGACATGACATAAACATTAGGTGAGATATGGAGGAAATGGCGGTGGCGGGGGGGTATTGGTCAAAGGGTACAGACTTTCATTTACACAGAGTGAGTCAGTTCTGGAGATCTAATGCACAGCATAATGATAGTTAATACTCCATGTATATTGTATGCTTGAAATTTGCTAAGAGGACTGATCTTAAGTATTCTCACCACACACAAATTGTAACTGTGTGAAATGAAGGAAATGGTAATTATCTTGATTGTGGTAACATTTCATCACGTATTCATATATCAAAACATCACATTGTACACCTTAAATATATACAATTCTTATTCGTCAGTTGTACCTCAGTAAAGCTGGGGGTAAAACTAAGGGAAAACATCATTGCAATTAAGAATAGATAACCTTTTAGTATAAAAATCTTTCTTATTTTTTGAGCACAATTCTATTTGTTTACATTTACTTAAAAAGATTATTAAAAACTTGAATTTTAACCTGTGTGACTGGAATAGCATTGACTCTAAATGAATGTTTACTAGTATTTATATATAATATTTAAAAATACATACAGAGTACTTTTGTTTCATTTTTAAAGGGAAATATTAATTATATAACCTTTTCCTCTCAGAGCATAAAACTAAAGTTTCTTCTTGTGACACATTACCCATCAACACCCATCTCCATGAAGAAACTGGAGATGCTGAGCCTGAGTCTTTTATCCCTGGACGTGGCCCAGTGGAAGGGTCAGACACACAAAGAGCCGATGACATCCACGACCGTTTTGCCTCCCGGCTCAGTGGCCCTGATGGAGAGAAAAGGGAGAGTAAGTTGCCAGGAAGAAGAAAGAAGCAGCAGAAGAGAACTTTTATTTCACCAGAGAGAGACTCTTTCTCTGATACCAATTCATTCCTGCTCTCTGGGAAAAGCCTACAGGAACCAGAAGACATCACTAGAGAAAATCCTAGGATGCCCGCCACTGAAGTAAGAGCCTACTTTTCAAGTCCTAAGTCTGCTAGTCCAGACTCACCAGTCACAGAAACTAAGGGACAGAGTGTATTAACTCCACCAGCTGCTAGACCACAAAGCGGTATCAATCCGCCGGGAAAAGGAAGGCATTTCCACAGTGCGACCCCACTTCTGCACGCCCCATCAGATAGCAGCAGCAACCAGCACCTTCAGCGCAAGCCTCCTAGAAGGATCTGGGAACCTATTGCTCACGGTGTAAAAAACATTAGCCCTACTCCACCTGGAAACTCAAGGGCACACGACAAAAGGAGTACTGTCTTTACAGGTAGCCCAGAGGTAAATCAGGCTACAGGTGCATGTGGCCAGCTGCCTAGCAGTCCTAACTTCGAGGCACATAGTGCATGTTCTGTAAATGAACTCACTTATGATAACGTAGCTGTCAACGAAACTGAAAACTTAAAAGAACCAAGCCAAGCAGACAAGGGTTCAGAATCCTCCAGTTATGCTCTTGAAAAGGAAAGTCTTCAGGAAAATGAGGTGCGGAGTCACCCCAAGAGCCAAGAGAAACAGGCAGTAATCTCGCCTGTTTCTGGAGAAAATCAAACACGTTCTTGCACAGAGCAGGAAGGGCCTCTTTTTCCTGCGGAATATTATGTGAGAATAACACGACACATGTCAAAATGTCAGAGGGAAGTGGCCATGGAGCCTGTCATTCCAAGTCATCTGGGTGCCAGGAAGAAAGGGTTGAAACGTAAGAATAAGGACGCTGCTAACAACGTGAACCTTTCTGGTGAAGAAGCTAACCAAACTGAAATTCAGGTATCTGACACACACGCAGGGCCGCCAAGTTCAAGAAGCCCATTTCAGAAACTTCTCTCATTCCTTGAAGTCACCTCGCCCTCTGAGCCCCCTAAAAACGACTTTTTTTCTAAGAAGGCGGTCACGCAGCCGTCAGGTAGAAGACACAGAGAAAAGAGAAGGGCGGTGCTCACTGCTCTGTCACGTCACCATGAGCCTGCTTCCGGCACATCAGGTGTTCCCAGCGTGGAGGAAGGTGTGGCCAAACACAGAGATCAGAGTGAAAAGGCGAGAATACATGGTAAGAATAGGTAAAGGGAAATCCAAGTGTGTTTGCTGATGGCCGTGATGGCAGCAAGCACCCACTGTGTGCCCGGCACTTCCTAAATGTATAGGCACTAATGGAACCATCCTAGCACCCTATGGGACGTAGAGTTTTTATCCTCTCCGTACAAGGACATTAACGTGCTTTCCTTAAAGTGACAGCGCCAGGATTCCAACCTGGTCATGCGGTGCCAGAGTTCGCTCATATGGCTGGAAAATTTGACACCAAAGAGGCCACTTTATTGGATGTTGACCCAAAGTTAGTATTTACTCAGGTAAACACAATGTTTATCCATGGGTAGAAGCTTTATAACTAACACAGGAAGTGTTTTTGAAATAAAATCAAATGTGTGTCAGAGTGAGAGGTCACTGATAAAACTCTCTCAGGAATGATTGCGTAATAAAACGCAATAAATAGGTCTGAGCAGCTTTTTTGGATAAAATACTCAATATAGTCTCTCTGAGGTCTGTGGGACACAAGATTTTGGAAGATGTTATAATTCAAACTTTTTTTCTCCACTTACTCAGGAGTTGTCCTGTCTGATAAACTGAGAATAAAAACTAGATAATTGACTCTGGCTCTACACTAAAGAACCACAAACTTGCCATAAAAGACCAGGCAGTACATACTGTCCTTGTGCCCCGCCTGAGCTCCTCCGGCAGAGTGCAGACTGTTATTTCGTAAATAAAACCTCATTTACAAAAATAGGCAGCCAGCGGCTCTCTACCCTTGGACGCAGGCTCTGGTCTATGAGCTATAATTAATTAATTTAAAAATGAGAGTTAGGACTTTTATCATATTTTAAGTCAACAAGAATACAAATGAATCAGAGCAATCTAGTAATAAGCTGGAAATATTTTTTGTATACTTTGAAATGATCTGCAATGTGAGTAACCTGCAGATTTAAAAAATTTTCTTGAAGTGACCTTCACATAGCATAATATTAACCGGTTTAAATTAAGTAAACAATTCAGTGACATTTAGTACATTCACAGTGTACAGCCACCTGGTTCCCAAACATTTTAATCACTCCAAACGGAAACCCCCACGCCCACTAAGCATTGGCTCCCCATTTCCCCTCCTCCTGGCAGCCTCTTGCCTATGGATTTCCATATTCTGGACATTTCCTAGCAATGGAATTATACTCTGTGTGACCTTTCGTGTCTGGCTGCTTTCACTTAGCTTGTTTTTGAGATACGCAACGTTGTAGCGTGTGTTAGAACTTCATTCTTTTTTATGGCTGAGTACTGTCCGTCGTATGTATGTCCCACCATTTATTTATCCATTTAGTACGTGATGGGTGCAGCTGCAGTTTGAATGGTGTAGGAATCCAGTTGCTTTAAGAGCAGTAAGTAACCCTTTGCTTGAAAAGGGGACTAAGTTTTGTTCAGTGATAAGAGTCAGCATTTTGTAGACTGTCCTCCGGTAGCCTGTTGGAATCATAGTTTTAGAGCTGAAAGGACTTCAGAGATTTTTTTAGTCCAGTTCCCCTAGGAGGGACACGGGGAAGTGAAATGAATTGATGTGCCACAGGTCACAGAGCAGATCAGTGGCCGAGCTGTGACTGGACCCCGTCTGCCTTCACCTGGCCAGTGTCTTCAACACCGTACTGTGTTGGGTACTGCAGGAGACCTGCTCGCTACCCACCAGTCTGTGGCTGGTGTTTGAATGGTGCGTCCAGGTTTCAGAGCCATGGATGGGGGACAGAGTAAACACATCCATCTGTAGGGCGCCGGAACTCTCTGCTGGGTGTTAATGCCTCTTGTTGGGTATTGATTATTGTTGCTTTCTGTTTGATGGAAGGACAGTCACTGCCAAAAAGAGGACTCCCTTTCTTCCAGTAATAATGTTTATGTAGCTTTGGATGACGATGTGTTCAGTGCTTCAGCTCCTAAGAATGAAATGCGACGTTTAAAGCAACTGTCTTTTTTTTCCCAAATCCCAGATTTCCAGTTACCTGATGAAGATTTTGGAGCACTTAAGCTTGAAAAACTGAAGTCCTGCTCCAAAAAGCCGAGGGAGCCTTTTGGATCCAAAGGGTATGGAGGGAGGCATCTTAAGGATTGGAGCTGTGTTTTTCAGAAGGAACTGAGCCCTCAACCAACTGGCCGAGATGCGGAGGACTTGGAAGAGGAGCTGACGGTTCTGCCAGGAAAAGCACACCCCAGAATGCCAGTGCTGAAGAGCCAGCCTCAGGGGAAGGGCCTTTCCTCATCCATGCTCCTTTTCACCCCTTCCGGCACCCTGGCGCCTGACGATAACGACAGGCCGCCAGCAGATGCGTGCTCGCCCGCCCTGCCCCTCGTGGGCACGACTCCAGCTCGGGGCTCCCAGCCTCACTGGGACAGAGCGTCTGCAGAGCTTGTCGCACGAGCGCGCTCTCCACCCCGGCTCTCTCCCTTCAAGGCCACAGTCAGTCTTGCTAGTGATTGTAAGCCATGCGACAGTCACGCCAGCCCACCAGAGTTAGATGGCAGCCTGCACGTGTCAGGACAGAAAGGACTGCCTTCCTCTGACTGCGATTCTGGTTCCCAAGCCATCCCTCTGCTCACTGAGTCATTCACTTTCAAAGAAAATCAGCTCTGTGCAGACACGTGCCTGGAATCGTGGCGACGCCCCACCGAACAGGTACAGTCCCTCCTTTGTGATATTGTCTCGGAAGGAATGACTTGCTTTGTTGGACATGGCAGCCCGACTCCCCTACACATTGGCCCCTCAGTGTGTAAGAGTGTTTTAACCTGTTCCCTTGATACCACTGTGAACACTACATTCGTTCTGGGGAAGAGAAGACTAATTAAAAAGTGTGTTTTTGTCATGGGGCCTCCTTGTAGCTTTGTCATCAGGGGCACAATTTGCCTTATGAGGCTCACACTCTAAGGACGGCTATGCAGCCAGACGTCGTGCGTAGAGTGTAGGTTCATGGTGTCACTTTTGTCTCCACAGACTGGGGTAACAGATGTTCCTGCGTGTGACGGCTTAAACCCAGGCGACCTGCGGTTGGTTTCAAAGTTACAGGTCAGAAGCCTGTTGCCTTACAATGTGTCCTGTGTCTTAACATTTGAAAAATGTACTCAACTGACAGGAAAATTGAGAAGAATTTGATCAGATAGATTGTCATTCTTGAAAGTGTTTTTTTGGTTTTTTTTTTTTTAGCTGAGCCATCCTGCCAGCTTAGTGGCAGCTCAGCCCTGGCCAGGAATCGAACCGGCAACGCTGTTGCTCAGAGCTCGGACTCTTGAGCGAGCTCTTAACCAACTGAGTCACTTGGCTGGCCCTTTCATTTTTCATTTAACACTGTTAAATAAACTTGGGAAAACATTCAGAAAAGCAGCTTTAAATTCTTCATTTTTCACCATGTTTGCCTGTATTTATATTTTAAGGTCATCTCCTGAAGAAGTTTATATGTCAACCTATTGCCAAGAACACCTTAAACCAAAGTAACTGAACTTGGCATCAGAATTAAAATCAGGCATTTTGACAGAGGAAGAGAGAGAAGAGTCAGTCAGGGCTCTCATACCCAAATGGTGTCATGTTTCTAGAAGAATCACTGGGGATTTAGAAGAAAATGGGTAGTAGTTCTGGGCTGTGATCTAGTGAGGGGTTCATCTTTCATACGCTGTGATCATGATATATACGGCTCTGAGAAATACAAACCAGGACGTTCTGTTAGGAAGGCTTGAGAAACAGATCAACTCCATGTCCTAGTTGGTGCATGGGTAGAGCGGGTTTCTCAGTCTCAGCACTATGGACTTTGAGGGCTGGGGACTTCTTTGTTGGGGGCTCTCCTACCCACTGTAGGACGTTTAGCAGCCACCTCGGCCTCTACCCCCTGGAGCCAGTAGCACCCGCACCCCAGCTGTGACAACCAAAACTGTCTGCAGACATTGTCAAGTGTCCTTCAGGGGAGGGTTGCAAAATTGCCCCCAGCTGAGAAGAACTGGTGTAGAAGAAAGAGCCTTAAATCCACATCAGCTCTTTTGCCACTTACTGGCTGAGTGACCTTGGGCAGACGGTTTAGCCTCTGAGCCCCAGACTCCTTTTCTGTAAGAGGCACAGTGATACCTAGCTCTTCTTGAATTAGTTTTAATAACTTAGCTTCTTAAGGAATCAACCGTTTTATTTGTATCTTCAAATTTGTAGGTGAAAAGTGATTTATTCTTATATTTCTTCTGTCTAGATATATGCAGTTAAGCCTCTCTCCCCTCAACCCCCCACTTCTGAAAGCACTTCTTTCCTTCATCAGACTTAAGAGATTTGTCCATTCTCTTGGTCTTCTAGAAAAACTGGTTTTTGGTTGTAGTGACTGTTAATGGAGGTTTTCTTGTTTCCTATTTCATTTACTTCTGTTTTCATCCTTCGTAACTGCTTCCTTCTGCTTTTCGTTGTGTTTCTCTCATTATTCTTTTACTGACTTCCTTGAGCTGCTTGCTCACTCTGTTGTTATCTCTGATCCATGCCTTTATGACCACATCTGGGGCAGCTCTCGCTGGGGCCACACGCTTGTGTTTGGATGCCTGCCACCCTCCCTGCTGTTTGTTTAGTTTGTCAGAAGGTGTAATTTCTAAATGGGTAAGTTTTTATAGGCTGTCTTTTTGTGGTCACATCTGAATCTGTTCGATTCTGGAGCTATATTTTTAAAATTATATCATAATACAAGTGTGTACGGGCAATTGTTTAGTTACCTGAGACCCACGAAGCTCTTCGTTTTGACCTACATCAACTTACATTACGTTTATTGGCATTTCCTCTAATCCTGTAACCCGTCACTTTGCATATTTATTCTTTCCGTAAAGCAGACCCCAAGCCCCCCTTTAACAGAACTGTCGTTCCATTCTGTGTCAGAACCCTTCAGGGTCTTGCTCCGTGGATGTGAGTGCCCTGTGGTGGGAAATCGCGGGGCTGAAGGAGCCGTGCGTTGTAACTGCTTGTGAGTATGCAGTTTCCCTTTGGAGACCGCTGGACACTCGCCAGTGGGAAGAAGTGCATTCCTGGCACTTCACTGAGGTGAGTCCCAACCTTAGAGCTGAAAGAGACCTTTGCAGTCATTTGCATGATAATGTAGGTGGGCAGCTTACAAGAAAAAACAACAACAAACGGTATCTGTGATGGTGTAAGACAGAACGGAGAGATGAAGTTCTCCCCAACGTTTTGTTAGGAACATTTTCAAAGACACCAAAAAGTTGTGCAATGAGCACCCATGTACCACCTGCTGTCCAGACTAAGCAGTTCTTGTGCTTTATGTGCTTGTCACACGTTTCTGCAGAGATGGACTGTCACACGACACCTGGTGGAGCAGCTTGGGGTTCCTGGGTATTCCGACTTCTAACCTTGCTGATAACCTGTGTTCCTTCCCTCTCACCAAAACATTACTTCTGCTGCTTTTCTACGTGTGTTTTCTTCCAGTCCTTGCCCTTCAGACATCCCTTCCGTGGTTGCAATCCTAGTGTGCCTAAAATTGTTTCTACACATTTTTCATGCTTATTTATTCAGAATTTTATTTCTCTATTTTTCCAGCTTTACTGAGGTATAATTGACAAATGAAATTGTAATATGAACCTTTGATATATGTATCCAATGTGAAGAATCCCACAGTTAAGTGACACACCCACCACACTGCACAGTTACCTTTGTGTGTGTGTGAGAGCACAAGATCTACCCTTAGCCCCTCTCATTCGTGTTCCCCAGTATGTCCACGGCTCCAACTCGGTGCTGCGTGGCGGGGCTCAGTAAATATTTGTTCAGTGAATAGACTCACTTTAAACGGCTGCATGATGTACCTTCCACTCTTACGTCAGAATTTACTTACTCCCCTATTGTTAGAGGTGTAGGTTGCGTTAATTAAACGCTACAGTAAACGCTTTACGCACATGGCATACCTGGATTCACAGCTTATCACAAGAGGGCGTCTGCAGAGCTTTCTCACATTTGTCCAGATGTTGGAAACCGTCCTGGTACAGCGAGAATAGAAAGGAATGCAACACATTTTGGAAGATATGGATGAATTTAAAATGAATCAACCAAATCTAATGTTTTGGCTGCTTTGTTTTATTTAGGTTCCTGTGTTACAAATAGTTTCCGTGCCTGACGTTCGTAACCTTGTGTGTGTGGCTTTGGGAGATTTGGAGATCCGAGAAATCAGGTATGTCCTTCACAAGGGTTTTTTTTTTTTTCCTTCCCTGTATCTTTGTATCTGTCAGCTTGTGAGGAGTGCAAGTTATAACCTGGGCTTGAGTCTTCAAAGAATCCGAATTTAGGCCTAAAGAGAGATTTGTTAGAAAAACAAACAAGCAAAAAACTGACTAGAATGACATTGCGGACTAAAGTTTCCACTTAAAACGTGAACCTAGTCCTTTAATATTGAAAGGCTTGCTCCTGACCTCCCTGCGTTTTTCCTTCAGGGCGTTGCTTTGTTCCTCTGACGGTGGAGGTGAAAAGCAGGTGCTCCTCAGTTCTGGAAACATCCAAGCCGTGCTTGGCCTGACAAAGAGGAGGCTAGTCCTTAGCAGTGGGACGCTTTGTGATCAACAAATAGAAATCACGATGTTTGCAGAAGATGGAAGGTAAGAAAAGCACTGGCTGATTGTAACTATTAGACAAGGAATGATTTCAGAGAAAGGTGCTTCTGGCGTCTTGTTTTTCTGTGCTGTCTGTTGGTGTGGTGGCGCAGGTTCTGTGGCTTAAGGGAGGACGCCGGACATGGCGGGGGGTGGGGGTGGGGGCCTCAGCAGACACAGCTGGTTCTTTCTTCCGTTGTCTTTGAAATCTCTGTGTGTCCCTTAAGTGGACCTCAAGGTCCCGGACCCTTTTCTTGTTCCACATGCCTGGTTCCCATTGCATCCACCGCCCTCTAGATGCTGAGTACTTGCGATCATACGTGTGTAGCTAAGCTCTTTCTCGACCTCTAGACCTGATTGCCTATTTATTAGACAGCCCGTGGTGACCTCAAACGCATGTTGGAAGCATGAGTCTGTCATAGACATGTCACACTTCATTGTGATTATTTACGTCTTTCCTAGTTGGAGGGCGTGGACCTTGTTTGTCTTATTTATGTCTTGTTGCAGTCATCCAGACAAGAGACAAATAGTTTCCTTAAATAAGGAAAGTGTTGGAGGAGATGGGAGAAGCAGGCAGGTGTGAGAGAGATGAGATCGTAAAGTCAGTAAGACTCGGAGACTAGGTAGATGGAGACGAAGTAGGTACAGGTCATGCCCAGGGTTCTGGGTTGGCCACCTGGGTACATGGCAGTGCCATTTGTTGAGACAGGAATACAGAAAGAAACACGACGTTTAAAGAGAGCTGGTGAGTTTAATTTTGGGGACGATGAATTTGAGGTGCTTGCAATATATCCAGGCAAATCATACAAAAGTAATATATGTTCGCTACACAGAAAGCTTAGAATAGACAGACATTTTGTGATTGAAATTTTTTTCTGGTATTTGGTTAGCGTTTATTGTGCAGAGTTCAGTCCTATGTGGAAGGGCTGCTTAGAAACTGCTTTGGTACAAAGTACTAATTCATAATATTGGTTTTCATGTAGAAGCAAAGAAAAACAGTTGTTGATGCCCCCTGAAGAGCCAGTGCTAAATTTTGCTGAGGTTCAAGGGATGCAGGAAGCTCTGCTTGGCACCACTGCGAGGAACAACATCGTTATCTGGTAAGTTTCCCTCCAGGCCTCCGTGTCCTCATCTGTAATATAAGTATGTACCTCAAAGGTCACAGGGTTGTTAAGATTAGAGGAGAGACTCTAAATATGACTGTGTTTTGTTGGTGGACTGTCAGATATATATTCCTGTCTTAGCAAGAACATCACACTAATTCAGACAGCGTGAACAAAACAAATGCAATTTTAGTGGTGTCAAAAATGTGTGCTGGGTCGACCGAGTGGCTCAGTTGGTTAAGAGTTAGCTGAAGAGCGTGAGCTCTGAGCAACAGGGCTGCTGGTTCGATTCCCCCATGGGCCAGTGACGCTGCGCCTGAGCTGAGCTGCCGCTGAGCTGCCAACAGGTGGCAGGATGGCTCAGCTGGTGAGAGTATGTGCTCCTAACAACAAGGTTGCCTGTTTGATGGTGGGCTACGTCCGCCTGCAAGTAAGACTGAAATTGGCACCTTGAGCTGACCTGCCGCCTGGATGGCTCAGTGGAAGGGTGTGCACACTTAATAACAAGGCTGCTGGTTTGACTCCGGCATGGGATGGTGGCTACGCCCACCCACAACTAAAGACTGAACTCGGCACCTTGAGCTTAGAGGCCACGAGCTGCTGACGGGCAGCCAGATGGCGACTGGCGCCCTCCACAACTAAGATTGAAGAACAACAACTTGGCTGGTCCCTCTCCCTAATTCCTCAACACTGTTTCCCTCCCCCAATTCCTCAATTTTAAAAAAAATGTATGACTATTTCTCCTTCTGGTTAATGGCTGAGTGGCTTCTATCAGACCACCTCTCCTGCCTCAAATAACTATAAACTCTGGACAAAATATTAAAAACAACCATCTGAAAGCACTGGAGAGTGAGAAAAAGAGGAAAGATTTGAGAGGTTCAACACTTAGAGAAAGGAAATGTCACTGGGTGAGTTTCCTGTTCTCACAGTTTTTAGTCAGAGGACAGGCCCCAGTCTGCACCCTGGGTGGCCAAAAGCTTGATAGAAAACCCGGTCCTACTGGCTTAAAGGACCCAAGTACAGTGATCAGGGTGACCACAGCAGCTAGAAAGTGAGAAAACCCCACAAAAGTAGAGAGCCAGAAAAGAGCCCTAAATTCTGGCTGTCATCTCTGCGTAAATAGTTGCTGATCTTTATACGTATGCAGAGCGGACTCGAAGCAGCCCAGTTAAGGCAAAAAGATCTGAACTGGCTTTCCAGAAATTGGAATTTGAGCTTAGCCATGTTAACTGTTTTACTGGGGAAAAGTCACTGTTATTCAGAGGAGGTTAACAGAATCCAGAGTTTACGTGAAGTATCATTCATGATGTGTAGAATACAGTCCAAAGTTACTAGATATTATATATAAAAAATGTTCCATTAGAGGATCCAAATTGGGAAACTTGTGCTAGGGAGTCAAGGAGTGCCCAGCCACCCCTCTGTGTTGACCATAGGGAGAACCAGACCCGGCCGTGGGTACTCGCAGGATTAACCTGTATTAGAATACATTGATTTTCTTCCTCAGAAGCCTTCTCTGCTAACTGTTTCCTTGGGGCCAGAATGGGACCTGGTAAGAGAAAGCTAGGATAGTCAGTGTCACTGCGCCCTTGCTTCCTCTGCAATGTCCAGCCCTAGCCCTCTAGGAACGAACCAGGAAAGCATGGCCCTGCGTTCTGATCTGCCCGGAGGGAGACCGCGTTTTCAGGCGTCCTGCTGTCTAGAGCAGCAGGTTGCTTTGACACTCTCCTCGGGGTTTCTGCACGTAGGTCTTATTTGCAGGCAAGGTTCCTTAAAGCAGTTGTCTGTTCTGTTCCTCCTGCTGTTTCTATGACCTGGACCTTCATTATTCGGCTCCTAGCCTGATCATCTAACCTAGGATTCGCCCTCCTTGCTATCCATCAATACCCAGCCTCCAGGCCACCTTCTGTGCTGTTGTTTTATAAAGTCTTCCTCCCAGCCCTCCCCCTCCATCCCATAAATAAAACCTTCAGAGGGGCCCGTGTTGACTTTTCTTCAGCTTCGTTTTTCCTGTGCTTTATTACAAGAATCCCTCTTCACCTGTTCCATGCTCCTTAGCTGCCTTTTTTCTTCCCATCCCTCAGTTCACCCCTTTGGCTAATCGCAATCCTTTGGAATTTTCTTATATAATGGGTCACGGCAGAATTTGAGGTTGGGGAGGGACTACTCTTAGCTCCTAAGTGTACCTGTAGGTGCTAAGTTTAAGGGGCATCTTTGCCCCACAGTAGCCTGGAGTTCTGTCGTGTCACCTCTGCCCTCATTGGCGTTTCTGTCTCTGAATTCACGTTGCCTCTATTTTTCACTTAGCATCCTCTACTTTGTATCATGAGAGCCCTTGAAGATAGGTACCACCTGTTGCATCTGTTCGCAGCCTGCCTCAGCTCCCTGCTTCCGGTAGCTACTCAAAGTGGTATGGCGCATACTGTATCAACAGCTGCACTGGCTTTCGGGCTCTAGAACCTTATGTTTACATCCAGCAGTTGTTCCCCTTCCCTGTCGAACTCCTGATTTGTTAGCTGTTTAAAGCGATTGATGTTATACTCACTATGAAACTATTGCTGAAGGTCTCAATACTTCATCTTGGTCAAGCTATGTTAACTGAGCTCCCCTCCTTCAATCATTTAATTGATATTTGAGTCTCTACTTAGATACCATTCTCTGACAGGTACAGATAGGAATCAGAGATGAATCCTGGTCCCGAGGCCCCGAAAATGTCGTAGGTAAATACCGTGTTTCCCTGAACATAGGACGTAACTGGAAAATAAGACCTAGCATGATTTTTCAGGGTGCTTGTAATATAATCCCTACCCCAAACATAAGCCCCAGTTAAAATCGTCAGCCAGACATGACGATTTGAATAAAGGTAGATTTTTGTAGATGAATAAATGAATAAATGTAGATTGTTGGAGGAAAAATTAATATAAGGCCCGGTCTTATTTTTGGGGAAACACGGTAAGATTGCTTTACAATTCAAAGTGTACAGTTGTACAGTTCCTTTACATGTCACACAAGGTCAAAGTGATAGAGGTTTGGGGTTTGGGGAGTAGCAATGACTAAATACAGAACACACAGGGACGTACCTGTTCTGGTCCCCCTCATGTCAGGAAAAGCTTGCATAGGTGCATGAGAATTTAGTTTCTGTCTTCAGTTTTCATACACAGTACCTGGTCTGTAGTAAAATCGGAAGTATTGAGTGAACACGTTACACACTCTTACAGTTTGTATTAAATAAGAAAGGAGGCATATGGACAGCCCTATATGGAGACGGAGGTGAGGAGATTTCTATGCACTGGTGCCGGCGAGGGGAGTCGGGGAGTCTGAAGGGAGCTTGTGCCGCCGGGAGGAAGTGGGGCATACATACCCTAGGCCTTAGGAATGGCTGGGCGGTGGTCAGCACGGGGATGGGATGGGGCAGTGATGTGGGGAGCACTGGAGGGGATAGTTCGAACAAAGACATAGAGCCAGGAACATGCATAATATGTTGCACGGACAGTGAGCAGATTTCACATACGGGAGCAGTGAGGAATACAGTATTGCAGTGCTGGATTCATGAGCGTTCTAAGGACCATGAAAAATTACTTGGACTTTCTCTGTGGCGAATGGGAACCAGCTGGACGTTTTTTATCCATTGACTCACATGATAGAACGTTGTCAGTGTCACACACCCTCAACAAAGCTCAGGAGTGGTTTCAACAAGCTGTCTTTTTGCTCCTTTTTTATATTCATCCTCTTCTGTCCTCCGTTCCTTTTTCCACTTTTTACCCCAGCTCAGTCTTGCCTTCTCTCCCCATTACCTTGGTCTAGCGCTGGTGTGAACAGATGTTATAGAGACATGATTGTAAGTCTGTGTTAGGTGTCGTCTCTCACCGAACCAGCTCTCCTGACTGGTGTCTTCCATGGAGAACTGAGGTGTAACAAGAATTGTGACAAAGTCATGAGGATAGAGCTACACCATCGGCCTAATGTCAGTACCAAGTAACAGAAGACAGTGGAAACCTTTTCCTCTGGAATTTGGAGAGATTCCTGCCTTGTGGCACAACAGATGCAATCTAAAGCTAAACTATCAAATCAGACCACTGGCTAAGTTAAGCGATAGCTTATTTTTAGCTCAATCTGTGACTAAACAAAACGAAGGTACCCTGTCCCTTAGTTTTTCCCTTGGTCCCCTCCTAAAGGACGCTGTGATAAATAAGAGAATATTAGTGAAACCCAGTTTGCCAGAAGAGCGTTCTCAGCTTATTTGTTTTTGGTGTCTAAGGAATTTAAAAACCGGTCAGCTCCTGAAGAAGATGCCCATTGGTGATTCCTGCCAAGCTTCCGTCTGTCACAAGGCCTACTCCGAAATGGTAAGTGCCCGTCTGCTGGGACCACGCTGTGTGTGACTCGGTCTCACTGAGAGCTGTCACTTAGTAAGCAGGGATTAGCGGACCCTCCCTGGTGCCCATTGTATCACAATTAAATAGCAGCGTTTGTTGTTGCCTGGAATTTATGGATGCGAATAAGTGTTGGTACAGTATGGCTGCTTGGGAAGGTTTCTGGCTGCAGAACCTAAGGGCAGTCATTTACTCCTAGCTGTGAATTTGTGCGGAGGGATATTATGTCCGTTACTAGACCTGGCTCCCGATTGCACTGCTGTCAGAGATTTCACACCCTGGGGGAGGGCGACTAGATGGTCCTGGGCGTGCTTCCTGTTGGGCTTTAGTGCTCTCGCGTGGGAGCAAACAGCTTCTTAGCCACTGTATCAATAGGCTTGGCGTCCTGCCTGTCGTGGCCATCTGAACAGGTAGGGGGCCGCTGTCCGGCAGTCGGGGATGCGCAGCATTGAGCTGCAAGGGGAGGCAGTAGTGGCCAGCTCAGCACTGCGTGGCCACCTGCCCGGCCTCAGTGTCATCTGTGACATCAGCACCCCGAGGCTCTGAGCACAAAGGGTGCGTGTCCCCCTAGCCTAGCAGCAGCTGTGGAAATGAACTCAAAGGCTGTGTGGTCTTAGATGATCTGTCCCATGGTCTTGAGGCAAACGTTTTTCATCCTAAAATGAGAGGATAGAATTTATTACATTACCTACTAAGCATTTCAATAATTTCACATCTTTCTTGTTGCAACATTGACACCTATTTGATTTTCAAACATTTAACACAGAAAAGGGTAAAAAAGTAAGTAAAAGTTCTCCATGAGGCCAGCCTCCAGACGTAATAGTCTATAGTTAATGCTGTAAACTCAGCAAGCGTTTCCATAAAGGGCCGGCGGTAAATATCCTCAGCTTTGCAAGCCACGTGGTCCCTGCTGCCGCAGCTCTGCCACTGTCACACAGAAGAGTCAGAGATGTGAGCAAATGGGGTGACTACGTCCCAGTGAAGCTTTGTGGACACGAAAACTTTCCAATGGAACTTTGTGAAACTTGAATTTCATGTAATTTTCACGTCACAAAATATTCTTCCTCTGTCTTTTTTCCGATTACTTCAAAATACAGGGACAACCCTTAGCTCGTGCGCCACACAGAAATAAGTGCTGACCCAGATTGGGCCCGGGGGCCAGAGTTTGCCAACCCCGAGTTAAGTGTGTGGCATTTAGCATTTTTTTTTACTCTCAGCTGTTTTCTAATTATAAAGGTAATTCATTCTCATTCTCAAAATTTAGTCATTCTGCAAATGTATAAAGAAGTGAATGTTATTAATCCAAAGATGTCCCTATAATTAATTGTCCCCATTGTACCCCTAAGGAAAATTATTTTTCACATGTAACATACATGTATACGTGTATATATGTCTGTGTGACACACATATCTTCATACACAATAATGTTATTATCAGACCACGTGATTTAAAAGCTGGGAGGGATCTATAACACGTTTTCCCACAGAAACAACCACATGTGATAGTGTCTGTTTTGTCACTCTGACTCTATGAATAGGCTGTTGTGGAGTGGCCTAAAAATCCCATCACTGCTTACGAGATTCCCATTACAAGATGGGAAAATGTATTCTGAACTTTCAAAAACCAACTGACGCATGAACATATCTAGTTTGAGAAGTCCCTCCAGGTGTTTCTGTGGCTGCCTTCCCTATGCCAGCGTGTCCCCAGATGGTGGGCACAGGAGGGAATTGGTGTGTTAGCTGGATTCACGCCTGCAAAGGCTGGCTGAACACTGGGGGCCCTGCGCTAAGAAGCTGGAAGTCCAGACCAGGGATAATCTCAGCAGTTCCTGCCTGAACAAAAGCGAGCCAGCGATGAATCCTGGCTACTTACAAGCTTGCGATCATTCCTGCAATTCTTTAGTTGTGTCTCTGCCAGCCTTCTCTTCCCCAGCATACTCTTGGGGATATCTTTGGTTGTTCATTTTTCTCCTAAACCAGGGGCTCCTGTTTGTTGTTCTGAGTCACCCTTGTGCCAAAGAGAGCGAGCCGTCAGGAAGCCCCGTGTTTCAGCTGCTTGCGATGAACCCTAAGACGACCCTGAGCGCGGGCGTGATGCTCTACTGTCTTCCTCACGGGCAGGCTGGAAGGCAAGTGTGCGACATTTTGATAAACGACCGTCCCTTAGCTGAATGGGAACATGGAATACTGTAGATCCTGGTGAAGAACGCTCAGAAGTGGGATGAAGGGTGCTGTCTGGTAGACCTGAGTCAGCCTCAGATGCCCTGTATCCCGACCACCCACCCCTGTGGCGTCAGATGGGTATTTTATGTATACTCAAGCCCTGTTTTGTCCCAGAGTGAAAACATTTTAAATACAAACAATAATGAATGTTCTTTACATAGAGCTTATGATTTATATTCTTCCCAGTAAGAAAAGTTTTGAATGTACTTTACATATTTTCTTTGAAATTTGACTGAACCTCCATCATGTAGGCAGTGAGTATTGATCTGATAAATATTGATCTATTGGTGATGAGAGGATCTATTTATCAGTGGCACTCTGCAAGGTGCTGGTGATATGGCAGTGAGGAATTCCAACTCGTTTTTATTAAGCACTTCCTGTGTGTCAGGTACTGTGTAAGCATTTTTAGCAACGATTTCCTTAAACCTCATGACAGTCCTGGAAGGAGGTGCTCATATCGCCATATCTATCCCTTTGTCACTGAGGAAGTTAACTTGCTGGGGTCACACAGCTCTTACTTTGTTAGACTTCAAAACCAGGTAGCTGACTGCAGAGCCCCTGTCTCAAAAACAACCAGATTCCGCCTGGTGATTGTTTTTGTGGGAGAGACCCATCAGCCATGGAAATAGGGTCACCTCGCACAGTGAGAAGGGCTGTGAAGAGGAGACGGGTATGAGATGTGATGGAGTGCGTGCCCTGCCCGGGGTGGGGGATCAGGAACAGCCCTTGTGTGGAGACGACAGGCCTGCATAATGACAAGAGCCCAGCCAGGTCAGTGTCGGGTTAGAGCCTGTTGTGAGAGGGAAGAGCAAGAGGGAAGTCATGAGGGGACTGAGTTTGGCTGCACTGAAGAGTGGAAGGCTGGCCACCCCGAGCTGGGACGCAAGGACAGGCTGCATCACGAGAGGCAGGTGTAGGTGACCATGTCCAAACTGCAGCACAGTAGCCAGCGGCCCCAGGGATGCAAACCGGGGCGTTCAGATTTCCAGGTGTTTTCTTCTCGCTTTGGGGAGTGTGGTTGTGGCCTATTTATATATGTGATTTGAATTGTCTCTTCTCTGCTTGACGTTAGGTTCCTGGAAGGGGACGTGAAAGGTAATTTTGCAGCCGCCGTACTGACTTCTGGAACGATTGCCATTTGGGACTTGCTTCTAGGTCACTGCGCTGTTCTCCTCCCCCCCATCTCGGACCAAAACTGGTCCTTTGTTAAATGGTCGGGAACTGATTCTCATTTGCTGGCTGGACAAAAAGATGGGAATATATTTGTATATTTAGTAAGTTAGGGTGAGGTGAAAACACAGTGTCTGCCTATATCTGGCCTCCTAGTGCTTCCTGGAGTTGTAACTGTAAAGGAGAATATCTGAATGACATTTAAAGTGATTCCTTGTATTCATTCAGACTGACTTGATTCTGACGGTGCTGGGACTACTGATCTCTAATGTTTATTTACACTTCAGGGAAAAGGACTTTACAGTGATTTTTAAAATTCTTCTCACTGGCACATTTGCGTTAGACAGTGTATATAAAAGCTTCAAATGTTAATAAATATTTATTTTGATACATTCTGCTTGGCATCTTATTTTTCCCCATCCTATTAAGATCATTTTCAGAAACAAGAGCTAATTATTTTACAACTAAAACAGTCAGTGATGTTTGCATAGCAAGAGTAAATTTCAGTTAACTTACTGCTACTATACTGAGGCAGGAAACGACTGCAGGAAAGGTTGTATCTATTGGACGTGACAGTTTAAGATGTAGTGGGTCAAATATATGGTGATGGAAGGAGAACTGACTGGGTGGTGAGCACACAATGTGATATACAGATGATGTATTACAGAATTGTACACCTGAAACCTATGTAACTTTACTAACTATTGTCACCCCAAAAAACTTCAATTAAAAAAAAGAAAAGATGGAGTGGGGAGCTTTACGAAGAGCTTCAGTGGTTGTGGCAGTGGAGGGGTCGGGTGGAATGTAGATTTGAGTGGATTAAAGAGTGACTAGGGGGGCCGGCCGAGTGGCTCAGTTGGTTAAGAGCTCGCTCAAGAGTGCAAGCTCTGAGCAACAGGGCTGCCAGTTCCATTCCCGGCCCGAGCTGAGCTGCCACTGAGCTGCCAACAGGTGGCAGGATGGCTCACCAAAAAAAAAAACACGTCCCATGTGCTCCCACTGACCCCTCCCCCACTTTATTGTTCTTCTTTGTATTTAACCCTCTGCCTGCAGTTGGTTTTTATCTGAGGAAGGGGTGTATTTCATTTGCTTATTGTCTATCTTCCCACTAGAATGTAAACGCTAGGAGAACACACTGCCTGTCTGGCTTGTTCACTGCTGTGGCCTCAACAACTGGCACACAGAAGAAAGTCCGTTTTTTAGTGAACACATAAATAGAAATAGTTTTATAACAGAGGGCTGATACGATGCATTCTGCTTTAAATGAAAGGCATTACACTTTATTTTACTTTAACAAAAAGAAAAAGAAACAAGTAAAAGTGAAGGTCCTGTTGGATTGTTTGTCCAGGCAGTACTCAAGAGTTTGGAGTCATTTTTCTATACGTTTGGATTTCAAGCGAGAGCCTTGGGCTCCCTGTTAAGAAATGGGAGCGAGGGGGCCAGCCGAGCAGCGCGGTGGTTAAGAACTCGCTTGGGATGCCAGAGGGCCCCGGTTCGGATCCCACATATGAGGGCCAGTGACACTGCCCTCCACAGCTAAGATGCT